CCATGGTAATCTAAACAAGCTCAAACTCGGCCTCTGTTACCATGGTAATCTAAACAAGCTCAAACTCTGCCTCTGTTACCATGGAGATATCTCCAGGCTCAAAGAAATCATCTTCTGTGATCCTGAAAACACAAACTCGTCCCCGGCACTGAACTGTTGACCTGAGTTTGTAGTCCAGCTCTCTGGTAATCCACTGACCAGACATTAGAATCTCATGAGACCTGAACTTCTTTTAAACAGACGCTTGATATATCTTTGTATGTTCTACTATTTTAAGTCATGTTCATTCCTTCTTGTTTCTGTAAGCAAGATCTGTATCATTGTAGCTACAAGATCGGCCTGTATTTAAAAACAGAGGGCAGATAATTTAAGATGTTTTCAACCTTTGTGGTTCAAAATGTTTTGTTGTTAAACAAGTTGAGCGCAGTGAGATGGTCTGAACTGAAATGACAAGTTATTCTCTTTGTGTTTTAAATATGTGTGGACGTCTTTATTTTCTTATTGCAAATTAAATTGTGAGGCTTAAAAAAAACTTGTCCTTTGTGCACTGCAGAGATGCCCTCCTGCTGTAAGAAAATGTAACTAAGTTTTACTCAAAGTAAAATTTTATTCACTTTACTGTTGCTTGTGTAGATTATTTTAGTACTCTTTCCACTCTTCAGCCTTAATGCACCTTACAAGAGTATAACACCTGGTACAGTCTTTGCAGTGCACACACACCCTCAAAGGACAGCCTCACGTGTAAGAACAGTGAACTTGTGGACATGAACATTACAAAGTAAAACTAAAACATGTCAAAGCAAAGGTTAAAAAAAATTTTAATTAAATAATCTTGAGGATTATAGCTTGCTAAATCATACCAATATTCTTAATCCAGGTAGCAGTTGTCAGAGACAAACAAGGTGACCGTTATTCTTTTATCTCATTGATATGACGTGGATGTCAAAGTATTCGCTGCTCCACATAGAAAAGGATAGAGATGCAGAACAGACTTCTTCAGTTCACCGTGGTGTCGGTGAACATCCCAGTCACATTAACAACACCCATCGTTGATCCTTTTTGTACACTGGGCTTTGCACAGTGAGTCCACCTGTGAAACCAAGTTCTTGTCCTTAAAGTCCATCCTTAGTCCTTCATCGTAAATAATATTCAATGGCAGCAGAGAATGCAGCAAAGCCTCCACATCCGAGGACCCCAGCTTTCAGACCAGCTACAAAAAAAAAAAAAGATGATAAATACAGTACTTTTAGTATAAACAGTAAATGTTCTGTACTTATACAGCACCTTTCTATCTAATAAAGATACTCAAAGTGCTTTACAACACAATCTGTGCCCTCATTTACCTCCACATACACACTCATGCAGCTCTCTATATCTCTGAAGATAATCAAACAAATAATTCTAAAGAGACTAATCAGAGCTTTTTAAATGGGACTAATGGGACACACATCAGAAGCAATGAGGGGTTCAGTGTCTTGCTTAGGGACATGTGACTGCATGTAGTGGAATTGAACCCCTAACTCTCCCATTGGAGGACGACTGTTCTAACTACTCAGCCACAGCTGCCCCCTCACCTATTTAAGACATGACTTAAAACTTTCCTTGTTGATAAATCCCAGTTTGTGTTGGTTTAGGTTGATCTGTTATAGACTGTTATAAGGACACACAGACAACATGTCTGACGTCTTTACTCTCCATGTTTGTATTTGTAATTATAGCTGCAGTTAAGTTTGTGTTCTTTTTTCTCTACATAGAAATTATTCGTGGTCCAATGTTCCGGTGGTTGTCTGCCCGTCTGTCCTTCCTATCAGCTCAATCCCCATTCGGCCGTGGCAGCTTGTTGCCCATCCTGAGCCCAGTTCTGTTGGACTGTTCCTTCTGTTAAAAAGGAGTCATTTCTCTCCACTGTCGCCCATTCACCGTGCTTGAACCAAAGTGAAAATTCACTGTAATCTGTTAGTTTATTTAGATGTGCAACTTTGTACTAAATGTCATTTTTTTAAAGCTACTGAATTTGACTATATTGTGTTAAAACTGGAACTACATGAATCATAAACCAAAAAAGTCCATGCTCAATAATCCAGGTATACAATCCAACAATTTTCAGTCAGGTCATCCAGATGTCCAGATGACCTGACTAAAAGTTGTTGGAATGTATACCTGGATTATTGAGCGTGTACTTTTTTGGTTTTGAACCAGTTTGACATGACTGTCGACGAGGAAGAGGGCTGGCACAAGAGGAGGGGGCGTGCCAAAGAGACCATCTTAGCACCAACATTACTGGTTTGTTCCACTTTGGAGTAAGCTGTTTGGGGAAAGAATCAGTTTTATGTTGTGCGTTTTCTTGACTGATGAAGCCTTCTGGATGGAAGGTGAAACGTTTTAGAAAAAAAAAAAAGAAACTGTCCAGATGACCTGACTGAAAATTGTTGGATTCATGAATCATACATTTTTGTATTTCTGTTTGGACTGAATTAGAATGCATGAAATTTAATACGAACTGGACCCATTTGTTTTGTACAGTGACCTGAGATGACTTTTGCTGTGAGTTGCTACCATGGTATATAAATTAATTTAAGTGAATTGAATTAGAAAAAAAAATTACATACCACGAAAGCCTATAGCTCCTCCAGTGACACAACCACTGTACACTGCATTCTTCCAGTCAGATACACCTCTGTGCTGCAAAAAAATAAGAAAAACAATTAAGTATTTGTCCATTGGAGGAGAAGAACACATTTCAGGTACAAAGGAGTTTAAGAGTTACATGCACATAACATTTTAAAAATGTTTTGGTGTAATATTCAGCTGCAGAGGGCATCATAAGACCTCTCTGAGGAAGTTAAAAACAAGATTTCTCACAAGTATGTTAGTGTGTGGGGTATCTGCAAATCATTTACTCTAAACTTGATGAAAATAAAACATGAAAACCCATCACATTAGTCAAACAAAATGGTTAATGTTTATCTTTTTAAACTTCACCTTGAATTTGACCAGAAACACTACAAAAAGGGCTGCATTGGTGTTAGGAAACTGAGGAGATCAAATATTTCTAATTTGTTCTGTGTTTTTAAATCCAAAATTTATAAAACGTTCAATGTTTCTGGGAAACATCAAAATCAATAAAGATGTTCCAGTTAAAAGTAGTGACAGTTACATAGAAGTGTGTGCCTTACTGATTCTATGATGCATTCTGTGCAGGAAAACATGGCGCCTACAATGGCAAAGTTCTTGGCGTAAGACATCCCCCTCTGACCCATGTCTTTAAGGACTTCTCGAGCTGTTGGAGTTCTGAGCGGATCTTTGGGGTCAAAGCCAACGTTGGTATCAATACCAGCTGTGAACACACCGAAGGCTCCTCCAAGGACAAATCCTGGAAAAAGATAAAACATCATTAACAGTTTTAAAATAAACAAACCACTAGTATATTTACTGATGTCAAGAAAAAAACACCATACCAACAATACAGATGAGTTGGTATGGTGTTTGGTGGTAATACAGATAGCTTTAAACTTAAGTAGATGTGTAGAGGAAAGTAGATGTGTTTATTTGTCTCACTGCGAGCATAAGAGTTTTAAACAAGAAAATGTAATAAAACAAAAACGTCCATACTCGAAAATAGACAATAAAAATAGTAAATAAATATACTGTTTGAATTTAATCAACATACAAAACAGGAAGGAGGTTCGGGTTTCAGTCTGAAAAGAAAAATATCATCAAAGCTACTAAATAAATGTGATTTATTTGGCTAGATACTGACTTTAAAACGATCTTTAACTGTATGTCACAAACAGGCAAAGATAGACAAGTTGTTTTAGCTGATTACCTCCTACACAGGCCAGGGTGGTCTTGAAGGCGCAGCTCTCCATTCCCCTCTCGATCATTTTCTGCTCGTTGCTTTTCTGAGGCATCGGCAGACCCCCCATCACCGAGGGGTTCAGCTCTTTTACGGGCCTTTTGTTGCCTATAAGATGGTCCAGAACCATACTGTACTGAATGCTTGGACTTTCCATACTCGAGTCAGAAGCAGAAGCGTTTGCAGCACCACTGGAAGCCGCCATGTTTCTCAATGACACTGATCTACGTAAGTGTAGTTTAAATTTACTTGACTGCAGATTCGTTACATTACGCTGCGAGCGGAAGTTTTTTAAATTAGTGTAATAAAATTATTTGACTTAATACTTTGTTATAACAAGTTATTTGTTACCAAATAAAATATTGTTAAAATGTTTTTCTTTTAAATATCTTGTTTTTAGCTAGAAATATATTTCGTGTCAGTACATTCGAAACAAAAGTGACCCTTGAAAAACTTTATTGACAATAAAGTCCATGCTCAATAATCCAGGTAAACGATCCAACATTTTTCAGTCAGGATATTTATTGACAACGTTTGGACAACACAAGCCTGCGTACAAATGAATGTAGAAATATTTCAAAGGAACTTTTTTAATAGCTTTTAGATTCATAATAATTATACAGATTGGAAATTTAAATTTTTTTGACAAAACTGTTAACAAATCCGCTGAAAAAAATCACTTACATTTACCCTTTTTACCCAAAAATAAGACCGTGTCAAAGATGTTTGAATAAGATCTTAGATTGTAATAGCATATTGTTGTATGTGTATTTTGTTACATTAATTAATGTGGTAATCAAAAGAATATCCCAGTCATATATTTTTGTCAACCGTGCTAAATCACTGACATTGTGAACAAAGGCAAATAAAAACAGGAATCGATTTTTATTTGTCAATTTCACAATCAATAAAAGTTAACATCTATCTATCTATCTATCTATCTATCTATCTATCTATCTATCTATC